TTTTACTTTGGATCATCCTCTACTGCAGTGGTTTCCAAACTCTTTTAGTCTGAGGCTTCCTTGATGTGAATATAAAAGTTTGAGGCCCACAACCTATAAAAATGCCTTAAAATGTGATTTCACAATGTTCCCCCCCCCCCACTACTTTAGCACGGTGATTGAAAAATAGTGCTGTAGTAAAAACGATAACATCTCCTTTCGCATACTGTATCATTTAATTAATTCAACATAATTTTTATCGGCTTATTGTTTGTTTAGAGTTAAAATTAATACGCCATCTTTGTTTTCGGCCCACTTTTTTGGCTGCCCCGCAGAAAAAGCTTCACGGCCCGTTGGGGCCGTGGCTCCCACTGCGGGAAACACTGCTCTATTGCAAGATTAGTATGATTATTGGTGTTCAATGTATTTTTTTATTTGTCGTGTCTGAAAATCCTAATGTAGCAATCATAATATACTGAGAGCAAATTTAACTTATGAATTTCCTGCGTCTAAGTACACTTAAACTTAATTATAAACTTTTCAGAAAACCAAAATATAAACAGTTTTGTCAAACTAGTACAAAAATATATTGGTTCACTCAAATATAGAATTCCTACGTCGAGTTATCTAGAGATGTATGAAAGCCAAACAGTGCTAAATATAACATCATTTTATAACCGATACAAATTTTACAATGGCGCGGAATGAAGTAAATAGAATGTCAGCTTATAAATAACTAGTTTTCATATGGATGCAAAGCGACGACAACTTGCAGAACACTCTAGTACCTTCCTTTTATTGACGCTGTATTTGATACAACAACAACAACAAAAAAGGTAGCCAGGGCAGTGTTGTAGATGTTATTTTATCAGAGTTGACATAACTCGTTTGAGAAACTAATTATCTTACAATTTTGACAAATTTTTATAGTATATTATTAATACATAGTTTATCTTCAATAATTTCGAACTAGTCTGAAAAATAATAACTCTGATGGCTCTATTAATAGCCCCCCAGTGGCACAGCGGTATGTCTGCGGACTTACAACGCTAGAAACCGGGTTTCGATACCCGTGGTGGGCAGAGCACAGATAGCCCTTGTGTAGCTTTGTGCGTAATTAAAAACAAACAAACTCTATTAATAAGTGTTTGTATGATATATTTTAAATCCATCATAATTATCTTTTCTAAACGTATGCAAGTTTTAAAACTATTATTTATCAAACTGTAATATAAAGCCTGTAAAAACACTTGATTTACCAAATTTTAAATAAAATAGGAAAATATCTTTATTTATTCAATCATAAATACAACTACTTTCATTTATAGGCTTTATTATTTCTACATTTACTTTTATTTTTATCTTTATTATTTTATGATAGTGATTATTTTGTATTGTTAGCTTAGTATATGGATTTATGATTATCATAATCCTTCTGGGCTGGCAAAACCTTGTGAGATATTACTGGGAGTATGGTTTAAAATATTGTTAACAGAAAAGTTACCCATCTAACGAAACAGTGTATTCTAGATATTATATATATATATATATATATTATATATAATCAGTATATTCCTTACTGATTATATATTTAGTTCTGGAATATATAGTGGCCAGCGTTGATCAAAAGTTACTATTAATAAACGCTAGCATAAAAGTGGAAATCATTTGCGCCCGTTAGCGTTAGATATATAAATTTACATAGGAATTATTCGAAACAAATTTAACTTTGAAACATCTTTATCTATATGTTTTATTCAACTTAACACATAAAGAGCGATCAGTTATGAGATATAAAGTATTTGTAGAAAAGGTATGATGAGTGAGGACAGTAAAATTTTTTTTGATATATATGAGATTGATGATTCTGGAGGTATCGCCATCTATTTAATAAATATGCAATAAATATTTTAATTGATCATTGTAAATGTTATTTTTCAGGAAATTAACCGACCTGTAACGTAAAAACAAGTATTAATAAATTCCTGTTTTAGTAACTCACAATATAAAATTAAGTTTAAAACACCAAACTTTTCGACATCTCGTGATTTCCTCAGAGGTTAATATGTTAATAGGTTTTCAATCTTATTTATCCAGACATTTTAACAGCTCTTGAAATATTAATTACATTAAGTAGTTAGAGAGAGTCATCACTATAGCATTTAGCAGGAAATTCATTAAAATAATAGAGCAAGAAAAGAAATAAAAAACATAAAAAAACAACACAAGATTGAGTCTAATATGACAGGAGTAGAGGGAAAATACCTACCTACTAGTTTTTCAGAACTTTTTCTTAGAAACAAATCTCTTATAGAATTTATAATACCAAGAAAACAGACCCTAAACTACTTAATAAAGAAAAAGAAAATGCATTCATCCATACTTTAGCAGATATTTATTATATTTAGAAATCTTTTTTTTTATATATAATTTCATCTAAACAGTCCTTTTATCTTCAAATATCAAAAAACATTATTTTTTAATCCTGTTGGTACATAAATTATTTGAAACTAATACAATTTCAATATATCGTTAAGCGGATGTTTTACAGGTTTATTAAAAAAGTATTCTGGAACACACTGAATAAATTATTAACAGGCAAATTGCGTGTGTAGGTATGAATATTTTTTCATGAATCAATTAAAGCTGTTTTCTGCAAGTGGCGTCACCTATCGAATTAACTTGTAAACGCAAAAATTAATATGATTATTGGAAATGTTACTTTTCAGGACGAGACATTGAGGCCCCTTCGTATGAACAAGTATAAGTGAAGTTCTTAAAACTAAAAATAAAACACGTTATATAGGCAATTCATTAAATCTTAATTAGCAATGTTAATTAATCTGTTAAAAAGTTGCTAAACGCAATTGCACAAAACAAAAAAGAACAAAAGTGATGATGTTGTAGCTGAAACAGCTGCTAATTTTACCTTCCATAATTATATATATATTTGGATAACTTTTCTAATTTACATGCAATTCTGCAGGGTGTTAGGATATTCTATTTAACCGGATGTTCAAACATTGTAAACATGTACTAACCCTTTTACAGAGGTAAAGGTCACGTTTTGCATAGCATGCTTCTGTGTGGACTTTCTAGGAAGTTTACCTGTTAAAACACATGATACAAACTGGCTTGAAACGGCTAGAGCTGAATATAGATTATAGTTGAAGAGTAGTTGGGACACCGCACTAAGGTTGTTGTCCGGCTATAGAAGACAGATACCTACACAAGTCTTGGTCTCTTTTGCCTTGATTTATTCTTGTCTCTATACTTGGCAGACGTTTGGAGAACTTGACCCCCGCAGCCACTTGGAGCCACAACGGAAAGTAAGGTGCTGGTCAGTTTGTTGACGAATGTAAAAGTGGTTGAGAATAAAAATTTTGTTTATTTGTTCACTTATTTTTGTTTTTCCTTTGCTGTTCGTGTCCGATTTATTATTTGCATCACCTTTCCGTAATCTGAGTTTTACAAATACTTGAAACTTATCTCTTATATTTTAGTGTACTTTAGCACTGAAATGATGAAACAAATGCAAGTTTAACTTAATGTTACAAAAATTACATAAAAGAAAAAGACAAGAATACACGCGTATCAGTTTCTGATATATGTATTATTAAAAATAAAATGATTGCAAAATTCACAAAATTAAGATGATAACCTCTCAACTGTTTAACGAAGACGAAATAAGTAAGGTATCCTATATATATTTGCAAACACAGCTAAAAGTACACAGAAAATGTCAAAAAGTGTTGAAGCACTGAAAAAATGTTTTTGAAATTATAGATGTTTAAGATACTAGTGCAGCCAGAGAATTACGTAAGACTGGTGTTTGTCTGACCTTTGATGCATAAATGTTACTGTTGCTGTGTAAATATTAGTTGAGTTTGAAAGGAAAATCCCTCTACTAAATCCTTTGTTGTAATTAAGTAAATATGATGAAAAAGAAGGAAAGTTCAAAGGAATCATTTGAAAATTCAAAGAAAAATTCAAGAGAAAATCACCATATTTCGTAACAGGATGTAAATTTGTTAAATTGCTGATAAAATTTAGATATAAGTATTTTATTGGAAGTTGAACCTAATAGAAGCAAAATATATTTAACCAAAGAACGAGCTCAAAAATAACATTAGCAATATTTTGAATAAGTCGTATGTTAATCTGTTTTTAATCGTGATAAGTACCATGAAGAGGAAATTGTTAATTTTTTTTTTACTGAAAGAATAATTTCGATAAATGTATGTTATGAATTATGTCATATGAACTTTCACTGGCTTCTTTTAGGATAACTGACTCACTGACGTAATTATCGAAGATCACTGCAGAAAATGCTCAGATGTTATATCCTTACTAGCAGAATTCTACTAAGTTCTTACACATCAGTGTACTGATATTCCAAATATTTTCAAGTATTTAAAATAGGTAACCGACACAGAATCACAGTCCTACAATAGGCCTAATCTACTTATTAAAATGTAAATAAGCCAAACCAATCTTATTTAGTATAATAAATGCTAGCTCTTATATACACAATTTAAAATCCAACAATTTCGTAAGACTTCTAAAGAATTTTAAACTTTGAAAATGTACACTCTGAACACTCTACTTTGGAAGAAAAACTCTAATTAGGCATGCTTGTTTTAATATATAAGCTATTTAGTTTTAAGAGCATAGTCACTGAAGCTGTCTTTTGCTCTAGCAACTTGTTCACTTTCTTATTTCTTAAAAGAAGTTTTGTATCAGAAGTTTGGTTTCGAGAAGTATAGGAGAGACTTATCGAGAGTTAGCTAATTACTTCACTTGTTGGAAAGGACCTTCATCTGGTTTAGTTGCTTCTCAGATCCCAATAAGCAATCTTTCCGCTATTGTAACTTATTAGTATTTTTAAGAAATGATAATTAAACTACTGATGATAAGATTCCACGAGCTAACTGAAGAAGAATCCAAGGTTTCGTTTAGCAAGTACAGATGAAAACTCGTAGTATAAAAATGAACTAACGATATGGAAGTTTGCTATAAAAAAAGGCACAATACTTTTTAATACACTTAAAAAAGCACACTGAGCAGCTACAGTGGCAAATGGAGAGTTAACTTAAATTTATCTAAATAGAACTGAACCTGAAGTATAAGTGAGCTAAATTTAAAGTTAGGATAATCTAATAACTAAACATGCTGGTCACCTGACAATAGTGAATTAGCTTGTTGTAATCAATACAAAATCTGAATTCAGATAAACGCAGCATCAACCAGCAACATCTTATATCCATAGCTTGATAAGTCATACTCACGAATCCTGGCAATAAGTTATTTCTCAATCCACCTATAATAATTATTATATGAAGCATTGTTTGTTTGAAGTTAAGCACAAAGCTGCACAATGGGCTATCTGTGCTCTGCCCACCACGGGTATCGAAACCCGGTTTCTAGCGTTGTAAGTCCGCAGACATACTACTGTGCCACTGGGGGCTATATGAAGTAATATTAAAAGAAAGAATTTCACCTATGCTAATGATCCATGTAATGAGACAAAGTAAAACCTACTTCCCACGTACAGCTTTTTACAGATAATAGAATTATTGATTTCTATGAAATAAACAGGAACTGAAAACTGAACTCTTTATCTTTTAATTATAATATGCAATAATTATGACAGAAAACCATCACAGTCAGACAGGATGATCCCTGTAAGGTACAATGTTACTGACATTGATTAAGGTGAAGTTCCATGATAATCCAGCTAGAGCATGATATGCCATTAATCTTTAAAAGGTTTTAAGACGTTGCAGTAGAAATGTTTGACTGGCAAACTGACAAACTCTATTATTTATCGCAACTTCTCATGATTTTCAGTGCATATTTCGTCTCGTGTCTAGCCCGATTCCAACAAGGCCTTGAAGAACGTCAATCCCAAGTCTATAAAGAAAGAAAAAAGTCCTTATATAATTTTTAACGTAGTGCTACAAAAGTGTAATACATAATATATATATATGTACAAATTTGGTTGTAACTAGAGGAAAAAGAATAATACTATTAATCTGTAGACAATCATTATTTGCTGACTAGTGGTTACGTTATGTCGTTTCTGTGTAATTTCGTTGATGACAGATGTCACTTTAAAACATTATCGAACATTTAAGTGAAAAAGTATTAAATATTTGATCTTCCGAAAAAGTAATAGTTTTTTAATAGATTCGTATCATATAATAACTACAGTTATTAAGATTTGGTAATTAGTGAATTTTTTATTGTAAACTTTTACCAGATTAACTTAGAATCATTAAATAAGTAGATTATTTAGTATACCATTTTGATTGTTGTAAGGTATAATTCACACTTTTCGCGTCGACAGGTTTGGTTCGGGAATGGACTTCTAATAAACATTATATGCACGAGCCAGTATATCAACTTACAGATTAACAGTAAAACCAAGTATACCATTTTGATTGTTGTAAGGTATAATTCACACTTTTCGCGTCGACAGGTTTGGTTCGGGAATGGACTTCTAATAAACATTATATGCACGAGCCAGTATATCAACTTACAGATTAACAGTAAAACCAATATTTTTAGCACCACCATGATGCATTCAAACGTATACTGTAACTGAGCTAGCATACTGTATTACATCGTAATGACCAAGCAAACGCCATACTACAAAATCATGTTCTGGTCAAAACAAAATTTTCATATTTTCATTTTCGCAGCGACAACTAAATATGTTTCAGAAGGCTATGACTTTTCTTTCAGATTTACATACTTCTAGCCAGTTCAATACAGTGTTTAAACCGAATGACACTATGTCCACTATATATTATACGTGGTTTAAGTTTGTAATACACCACATAATTTTCAGACATTCTGTATAATAAAGTTATTTAAATAATTATTTAAAAAGTATTTATATAAGTATACATGATCTGCAATTAAGTAATGAGTAGATAGTATCCCGTTCATTTTTATAAAACTTACATGAATATTTACATCAACATAACGTATTCATTATCAACCTTTCGTCATAACACGGGCAATGTACACATATTTATGAAAGTTGCCCGAATTCAAATTAATAGCAAATGAATAAATTTCAAATAAAGTAAAACGTTATATTTTTGTCGTACAAAGCCGATAGCCCGGCATGGCCAGGTGGTTAAGGCACTCGACTCGCAATCTGAGGGTCGCGGGTTCGAATCCCGTCCCACCAAACATGCTCGCCC